AAAAAGCTGATCGTACTCGTATAAGAGCCCCTCCCTTCCTTCAAGTTCGTGAAAGTATCTAACCACCTTCAAGTTTCCCTCTCTATCACTTCAATTTTCCATTGCTTCAACTTACCTGTTTGAAATCTCATCCTTCAAGTTCCTCGTTCAAGCGATTTAACCTTTGCAATCTTTATAAATAAGATGGTATTTCTCTCTCCTAATCCAATTAATTTTAGAACCATACTCACCACAGTGATACATTACATTATCAGACTCCAAACACCGCTCAGAGCACCAGGTAGCTCACAGAAACATAAATCAACTTCCCAATAAGCGCTGGTGACATAGACGAAGACGATAACGAAAAGACCCGAAAAACAAACACAAATCGTCACGAAAATTACAGCAAATCCCGCAAACTGTCAAGCCTACCGGAGGAGATACCAGAACCCCTAAGCAGGCAGTGCTCCGGGTTCACCGATCAACAAGAGCCGAAAACAAAACCCTGTCCTCCACCAATCCGGACTGAACCGGACCCGCCAATACTAACTAGTCCAACGGACACTGAAGGGATCTTCCGAGTAACTGGGGAGCACCCAACTGATTCCGACTCCTTTCCCGACTTTAGTTCCGAACCCTCTGAACATAATAAGTGACGACAAGACCCAGCAACAGTTCAGCAACAGGCCCACTAGCAGCAGTCTCCACTGCTCCTCAGCACGCAGCAGTGCTTCACCAGAGGCCCTACGGACGACTACTTAGGTAAGTGCTACCACCAGCACCGCTTAGTGCTCCACAAAAGAAACGTTGCCCGGAAGACCATAGTCCCAAGTCAAGTTCTCATCGGTCCAAGTCTAGTGCGTCCGCTCAACAGGCCCCAGCAACAGCGGCCGCTCAAACAGGCCCAGCAGGCTCTACTACTCCCTCACCAGCACCCGTCATGCTCCACCAAGGTTCTTGCACCGGAGACCCTACATTCAAGCCCCGACGCCCCTCTCGGTTATTTCTAGTGCAAGCCGTCCGAACTAATAAGCCCCCTCACCAGTACGAACAGAAGACTAATTAGACCGAGCCATCGCCGATTGTCCAAGAGACATCCCGAGTGTTGTTCCCGTATTCAAGAGACATCCCAGAGCTCGACCGCATTCAAAGATGATCAACAAGAGCGAGATGACTTTAGGTCTACTCAACCTACCTAGAGTGAATCCAGCATCCGCAACAGCTAAAGGCGGAAATGCAAAATGTGGGTTGGGTCAATAAAAGCACGTCCGGTATGGCTGCGTTCAATGCCCTATGCCTTTACTTGATGAATTGCCCTCCTCAACGTTTTTCTGCCAATTTGGACTGGGGGTGACTCCGATGCCGTAAGCACTGGCGAGTGCTCTACAGTGGCTCATCGCAGATGTTGGTATGAAGGATAGGTTATCAAGGGGACAGGGGAGACCGTCAGTTCAAAGAGGCCCTTGATAGTGATGATGATGATGACGGCGGTGGTCAGGCAGCCGGAAGACGCTCTCGCAAAGGGAAAAGAGCGTGCAGTACCTCCGGAACTCGTGCGACCTTCCATAATGGTTACCGTGGTGGACCCCGATGCTCTAGGGGCATTCTTTATGCTCGTCCCACCACCTACTTATGACTGGAATGAATCCCCTGAACGAACCTTCGTTCATCGGAATTTTGACCAAGATAACTTTCCCCGAGCTATGCAACTTGATCCTGAAGCACACCGCACCCGGCAGAGCAGTCAGGACTATCTGGGGGGCAATTGAGAATGTCCCCCCGGCAGCTGTTCCTCCGTTCGGCGGTGGAGGTACAAATTACCGATTCAGAGGAGCTCGAAGGTTGGTTGAAGAACAGCAATGCCAGGCCTCGGAGGATATTGGCGTCCTCCACAGAGCAGGCGCGGGTGCTAACCTGGGTGGTGCGGAATCCCCCCGTTGAACCCGGCTTTCCCTCACGTTGAGGAAGATGATTATAGCATGATCGATATTCCTGCAGAGGATTCGGATTACGAGGAGGGAAAGCACCGGATAAATGCCAAAGGACTGAGGGTATATATGCCTAGAACTGATGCCAGTAATCAAAGGCTAATTCAGACTCTTGTTAGGCGTCGCGATAGACAGCAGGATGCTATCGACGATTTAGACCCCAAATACCTTAGGAAGTATCCTTTGGGTGTCGGGGTTGCTGACCCAAACTTCTTACAGGGGACGATCTGAACACCTGCCGGGATAGCAGCCAAGAGAGCTGCTGACGCACTCGCGGCTGCTGGTGCTGGAGGGTGGTGGTGGTGGTGGTGGTGGTGGTGGTGGTGGTGGTGGTGGTGGTCCAGGACCTCCACCGCCTCCGGGCGGACCTCCTCCTCCTCCGGGCGGCGGTGGTGGTGGAGGACCAGCTGGAGGCGGTGGTGGTGGTGGTGGTGGGCCAGCTGGAGGCGGTGGTGATGGTGGTGGTGGGCCAGCTGGAGGGGGTGGTGATGGTGGTGGTGGTGATGGTGGTGATAGTGGTGGGCATCATTAGTTCCCTTTGGTATAATCTCTAACTTCCCTTCCTGCGGAATTGTCACTAACCTTTTAATAGTTGTTAGGATTACTCCCTGAGCACTCGCGATAGCTATTGAGGTGCGGTACGATTTGGTGTTTTGGATTTCCCTTTGTCTTGCGAGAATATATCAATGGATGGGTTATATCGGATAGGATTAGATTAGATTAGATTAGATTAGATTATTCCAGGTAGTAATTGCATTGCTTTTATTTCAAAGTCGAATCAAACTCCTAGATTGCTCTCAGAGCACTCGGTACCGCTTCAGAAAGTGCAGTTAAAACGAGTGATGATAAATGATGCGGTTGAGTGCAGAAATTGTGGTAACATAGGATGATCCCTGCCATAAGAGGATTAACGGTGCAAATTTTTCTTGATTAGCGGCGCAAATTTTCTCGCCAAGAATTGATTTCTAATCGAAGATATCGCGAATGCTCCTAGAGCACTGCGGATATTCCTGCCAGTCATCAGAATGGCTCCCACCAAGCGCTCCTCCGGTTCAGCACCTCTTGCCCCAAAGCGCCCACGACTCCCAAAACAACCTGAAGAACATGAAGATTTACTGACTGACGAGTCTGAAATATCTTACCGAACATTGACTCCACTGCCAGCCCGCACTCGGAGTAGTCAATCGACCACCGCCGCTCAAATAACTCGGAAAGGTCTTCTCCGTTCCTCCGAAACCCCCACTGGGAGGAGCAGTCCTAGGAGGGTAGAATTTCATCTCCCCGAGGATCATACTGATAATTTTGAAGCGCAGGAGGAGCCTGAGGCAATTGAGGCGCCAGAGGCAATTGAGGCGCCAGAGGTGGAAGAAATAGTTGATACTAGCCACTCAGACTATGATGATGCTCCGGAGAATGACCACGAGAGCTCTGAGGAGGATGAGGATGAACCGGAGGATGAACCTCAAGCCCCCCCCCATCTTACACCCAGAAGTCTCAGACTGTCGGAAAGAGACCTCATACAGTTCAGCTGACTACTCCCAGAGCACTGGGCAATGCTCGGAGGAAACCAACTGGCGCGGTAGAGGAGGTCATTGCTTCTTCCAACGTGTCGGTGGACGTGGTACAGGTTCGACTCTATCTCGCTCATTGATGCTTTTTAACATGTAAGTATTAGTGGCTAACGATTCAGAGGGGAACTCGACCGGGCGCAAAAGTAATACGTAAACAAGGTCAAGGGAGAGCAGCACCCACTTCAACACCCAGCCAGAATGCATCCCAGAGAGCACTCCCGGCATCCCAGAGAGCACCCCCAACACCCTCACAGTCTAGGCCCTCTGCACCTGTTTATGCTCATGAGTATACCTCTTCTACGCGCCATATCGATTTTTCCTCGATGCGCTCTCGATACGGGGAGTCGTCCCCCACTTACCGGACATATCGTTCTTCACCGCCTAGCGAGGTAATTGGCGAGAACTCTGTGAGCAGTCGTCAGATTCCTTCAAGCCAACTTCACGGTCAAGGTAGATCGCGAAGAGTCTACGAAATCGAGTACCTTCCCTCATCTAGGGAGGAGGACGAGAGTACTCCGATGCCGGAAAGCGAGGGTATTTTGATTCCGGGAAGCGAGGTTAGTATTCCGGAGGACACTCACGACGTCTTTGAGAACACTGGCGACATTCCTTCGAGCCAATTGACTCAGAGGTCTGTGGTCCCTAACTCTAGGAGTGCAAATGTGCTGTCAGTGCAGGCTCAGAGGATTGAGAAGGAGTGTAGCGTGTTAATCGGGGAGCATACTCTTCTACATGAGCCCTTTCCACCTGCAGCAAGACTTTCGGTACTGGTAGTGAGCATGTGGGCAACTGCTAGTCGCCGAGTGGGGTGTAGAGTAGACCTTGATGAGGTCGTTATTAAACAGGTGAGTGCCCCCAAAAGGATTACGAGTGCTCTGGAAGCATAATTGAGAATGATAGGTCAGAAGTCTGCACTCCCGTGTCCGTTCCCACTTGATGCACGAGGTGAAAGGGCGCCTGGCGGACTCTACGATATACGGGCTTGGAAATTTTGTGGGGCCTGAGGCGAGGGCGGCTCAAGTGGAATACCTTTTGAAGAATGATCGTTTCTTGAGCCCCCAACAGCATTACGAGGTATGATGCCAGTGGATGCCCAGAGAGCACTCGGGATAGCCGGTAACAGATTCTAGACCTACCGACTGCGCTTCCTGGCTCCGGAAATTATCGATATATTGTATTTTAAATACTTCGATGGGGTAAGAATGCGAGGGGTTAGGGATCCCGAATTTCTAGAGCGGATAACCCCTACCCTTATTTGCCTGATATCGACGGCGATCTGGCACGGCATTCGGGCGTGGTCAACAGGGAGTTACGTGAAGCCTGATAATTTTCAGTCGCAGAATGAGAGTGTTGTGAGTAAGTATGGCCCGATGCCCTCATTGATATGGCGAGTGCCTTGGGAGCAATGACGGATGCTCCTAGGGCTATACGGGATTGCCAAGCTGTCATCCAAACACGAGTAGAAACGTTCAACAGGATGAGCAACACTTGGAAGGGGAGAAGTAAACAGAACCAGGAGGCAACCTTGGAGGTAATCAAAGATAACCTTCGAGAAAAGGTATGATACTTCTAGATGCCGGTAATGCGAGTGGTATTCTAAATGCTAACCCTAATAGATACGAGATAAAAAAGGGGTAACGATTGAGATTATACCGGAGGAGGGTTTTAGCGAGGACGATGAAGCTCTGGCTGCGGATCTTGCCGCATTCCGAGATGCTCGGAGAACACCCACGAGTGCTCCAGGAGGTCGGGTTGATTCCGACAGCGCCCAGGACGAAGTGATTAATGCCCGACTTCGCGGCATTGACACCGAAGAGGAGGGGGAGGAGGAAGAAGAAGAGCCGGAATTACCTGTAGCGGGGGATTACGAATGGGGGGGGGGGAGGAGGATGTGTAGAACAATCACGAGTGCTAAGGGAGATAGTGGGGGATTTCTTCTGATTCGTATATTGTATTAGGGTTAGTTAGGGTGTTAAATGGCGTATTGTATTTAGTATTAGGCGGAGGATCACGGTGTTGAATACACCAATTCTCAAAGTGCAGTCGCGAGTGCTCTGGAGACAGTAGAGATCGTCGTGCGAGTGATGTTTTTGTAATCTCATGGGGGAATTGTGAATACCAGAGGCCGGAACGGCGGAGAGGTGTATGCCTAGAGAGAACGGGGCGCCGACATGTAGGAATCGGTACGTCGGGCATGAGCCAGATTTCAAAGCACCCCATCTGGCAACGTCAGGGGGAGTCAGGGCAATCATTCTATCCCCAGAGCCCGCTGGAGCAGTGAAGAGTGCTCCAGGAGCAGTCAGGATATCCAACCGTGCAACTGGCGTTCTCTAGCGGGTAGAGTGACGTCCTAGTTACACCGGGCGCTATTATTTAGTGTCGGGGCCCGTTGTGCGGACTAGTGTGCGCTGGGGCGGAATAATGTGCGCCAGACCTCGCCAGGAGCACTGGCGGTATCTCTGGAGAGGTAGTTTACCTACCGAGCGCCCTGAGCGCCCTGAGCGCCCCGGGCGTCTGGCGAAGGCTACAGGTTTGCTGATGAATCAATGCCATCATGGAACAGTATCTCCGAAGTTATGTCTCTTACCAACAAGATGATTGGGTCCGGCTATTGGCAATGGCCGAGTTCGTCACAAATAATCATACTTCGGAAACAACAAAAGTCTCTCCTTTCTATGCCAACTCGGGAAGAAATCCCAGGATGACTTTTGGCCCCTTAGAACATTGCAAAACGACAGCGGAAGATCAGGCCAACAGCATTGCAAAAGAAATGAAGGACATGGTGGAATTCCTAAAAAGCGAAATATTTCGGGCGCAAAGAATACAAGAGGAGACGGCTAACCTAAATCGTTCTCCTGCCCCTCGTTATCATATAGGAGATAAAGTTTTCTTGTCGACCTGCCACGTTCTACCAAAGCGACCCTCCAAGAAGTTTGATTGGAAACGGATTGGTCCTTATAGCATCAAACGAATCGTCAATCCCTATGCTTATGAACTAGAACTTCCCCGTTCTATGAAGATCCATCCAGTATTCCATGTTTCATTATTGTCACCTGAAGCAGGCAATCCATTACCGGGACAACAACTATCACCACCACCCCCAGTTGAGATCGAAGGGGAGGAAGAATGGGAAGTCGAAGATATTTTGGATTCTAGGAAACGCAAGGGACGGTTTGAGTACCTGGTACAGTACACAGGATATGATGATGCTTCGTGGCAGCCGTTATCGGACCTTGAGCATTCACCTGATATCGTTCGACGATTCCATGAACGTTATCCACAAAAACCTAAGACTACCAGGAGGTAGGCTTTGGAGGGGGGGCGTAATCTGTAACGGCAATATTATCTGTTGGTTGGAATGATCGATTGAATCGTGAAGGGAAGGTATTGTGCAGTTGAATTAGGATTTGTAATGGGGTTTCTGTTATGTTCTTTGGGTTTCCGTTATGCGAGGTATGAGTCATCAACGGACTAGAGGCTGGATATATAAAGGGGTGTTGTCTGGTGCCTTCTCATGTTTTCCTTCCTTTCCTTTTCTCTTCACGGAACTTCTTGTACTTACTCCACGAATACTACTTTGTTCTACGCCTCGTCATAGGGCTCAACTAGTTAGTCATACTAGGCAGAGCCACTCCATAGTCCACAGTCTCGAATACCTATTGCTATGTCTTCGCCTCTGTTGTATTCCTTGGCATCATAGTCCCTACGTCCATAGACCCCCGTTACATATGGGGGGTCTTACAGTGGTAGCATCGGATGGGTGAGTGTGAACATCTGAGGCCCCCGGCGTATTCTGTACATGGGTGGTCTTTGGTTTCATGTTCCTCGGCACAGTGTCCGTATCTTCCATTGGGGTGGGAGCAGCGTTCTTGTCTGTGGCCATACTCAAGACACTTGGAGCATTGAGTTTCTGAATTTGCTGGGAGATAGTTATCAATTTTGCAGTTCCTATTAAAGAGGGTGAGATATCGGAGTCCGAGGTTCTCTTTTGTGAATTGTCCGGGGAGGGCAATGATCATGAAGGAGTGAGACTTTCCGACTCTGGCTTCTGGTTTCGATAGACATTTCGTGATTTGTGCCAGTTCGAAGCTGTTGCCGTAGTTGTTTCTGATTTCCGAGTCTAGTAGTTGTCCTGGATCAAAGGCCTCATCTGTAGAGGTGGAGATGCCATGGAGGATAAACTTCGACCATCTGGAGTTAACCCGGATGTCGACGAAGGGTACTTTCAGTTCGTTTAATACGGTTTAAAAATCTTTTTTTTATTCCAGAACCTTCGTGGCTGGAGTTGCAAACTTTGATTCCAGTATGATATTGTTTTTGGTGGTTTTCCGGACGGCAATTAATTGGCAGTCAGGGTCCTGGATTTTTGTATTGATCTTGACTCTAATGTCTGATGGAGTGACTGTCAGTTCCTTCTTTGCTTTGATTACGATTTCCCGGTTGAGTTTAGTGATTTCAGGTTTGAACAGGTGGTATGCTTTGGGTTTGGTGTTCCTCTTCTTGGTGACTGTTGTGAATTCCGGGTTCGAGGCGTTTCCAGCGGTGGCAGCGTAGGATTTCTGGGCTGGTGGGTTGGCTGGGTTGAAAGAACTAACTGGGCTGGCTTTAGCTGGTGTCCTGTTTTTGTTCCCGGAGGGGGGAACTTGGACGGGTGCAGGGGCGGGGTCGGGGACTGAGACTTGTACGGGGACTGAGACTTGTACGGGGACTGGGACTTGTACGGAGGCGTAGTGGTTGAAGAGGAGGGAGGTTGGAATGGAAATATTGTATTTCGGCTAAGGCGATAGATTGGATTGTGAAGAGGAGGTATTGCGCGGTTGAATTATGATTTGTAATTGGGTTTCTGTTAAGTTTTTTCGGTTTCCGTTACGCGGGGTATTAGTCATCAACGGACTAGGAGTTGGATATATAAGGGGGCGTTGTCTCGTGACTTTTCATGTTTTCCTTCCTTTCCTTTTCCCTTCACGCAACTTCTTGTAATTACTCCACGAATACTACTTTGTTCTACGCCTCGTCATAGGGCTCAACTAGTTAGTCATACTAGGCAGAGCCACTCCATAGCCCATAGTCTTGAATACCTATTGCTACGTCTTCGCCTCGGTTGTATTCCTTGGCGTCATAGTCCCCACGTCCATAGACCCCCGTTACAGAGGTCTGGTGTTGCATCCTGTATAGTTTTTCGGATTGTTTATCTTGGTTCTTTGTCATTTCGAATAGCTGTTTTCCCAAAATATCGACTGTGTGTTTAAGAACCTCGTTTTGTTGGATTCTGAATCCGTGGCTGCTGTTGATTTTGTTATTGGTTTATTGGATTGAGTGTTTGAGTGTTTCGATTGCGACAGTGAGTGCATTTCGGATGACCCAAGTGATGTAGTTTAAGTCCATTCTGGTGTGGGTTTCTTCTGGGACGATGCTGGGATGGATGTAATCGAATTTGGGGACATATGGTTCGGTGCATTGGGTATATTCGGCGAAGATGTTGAATGGTTCTTTGTTAAGTTGGGTCTGTTCTATTGTGGTGGACTGTGTTTGTTGAGTCGATTGGGTGTCGGGGAAGCGGGAGTATGCCGGAGTTCCTGATGGGGGGGCTCCTGCAAACCAGGAGCTCAGGGAGGTTTGTTGGGATATCACTGATGTTCCGGATCGGGTTGGGTTGGGGAAGACTTCTGATAGAGTCCTCTTCCTACCCGTGATGTTTGGGGGGTTGGGTGGGTTTTGGGAGTTTTGTGAGGCCAGGTCGGTTATTGTTTTCACTGTTCTCGCAAGACTTAAGCGAGGGGTGGAGAAGTGAGGGGGGAGAGATCACAACTCAGGAACTAGAGCGTGAGTAACTTCGCGTACAAACAGATGTGCGATAAGATACTAATAGATTACGTGGTCTATTGATATACAGGATCGAGTTAGTATAAAAGTTTTATCGAGAATGCCAGCCAAAAGTATTGTTAGATGGAAAGTGTTGGTGTTGCGAGGGTAAGGTACAAAGATTGCTTGAAGAGACAAGAAAAGGAAAGGAAACAAGAAATAGAACGGGACAACGCCCCTTTATATATCCAATACCTTTGTCCGATGATGACTCATACTTCTGCGTAATAGAAACTGAAAGAACATACTAGAAATCCCTATTACAGATCCTAATCCCCCTGTGTTATACTGACTCTTCTCATTCCAATATATTGCCTAGCTGAACTATATAGCTGCCATTACACTTTGTCCTGATGGGCAGTCTGCCTGTCAATAGTTGGGGGCACAGCGACTATTTCCGATGAGGGGAGAGAAGAGTTGCTACCACACCTCAGATGAACTTCTATCCGAGTCAAATCACGCAATCTCTGCCAAAAGCTGTTCTGGATACTAAGAACTAGCGGAAACAGCTGAACATACAATACTTGTTTAATTAAATTATTTAGAATTAATTTGGATGTTTATAAAGCCAAATTTTGCTTTAGTGACTTGGGTCGCATTCTTAATCCTCAAAAATATACCAGGCTGAAACAGGAGGATTCCAGCGGTTTGACGCTCTGGGGGTTATTTTAGGGGTTCCAAATTGTTATTTTTGGATTAGACCTCCCATTACGCATAGGGCGTCGCGAGGATCCTTTCTGTTGCAATAAAACATAATTTTCTGTCATCAGTTGCAGATCTATCGCATCTCAAAGGTCGACTGCCAAGGTAGGATAACTTCTGATTTTGGAGTTACCCTTCCTATCTGGCTTCATTGTCCTTCTGTTCCTGTTTGGTCCAGTGACATAGTTTACTTGTAAGGTTCCTTACTCACTAGGATCTCTACCCTCCATACAGATAGAGGTAGGGGCCCATCTGCCATCGTCTTCACGCGTCAATGAAGAACAAGCTGTGGTTACCATAGTGTCGTTGGCTAAACTGATAGAACAGGTACTTTTGTAACAGCTTTAAAGTGGCCTTGTTACAATGGTTTGAAGAAAATAATATAAAGGTGGAGGTGCACCCACCTTATTCACCAGATTTGAACCCAATTGAGAATGTCTGGGTAGAGCTCAAAAAGAGGCTTCAAACTCAATACCCTCAGATAAAAAACACACTCGGAGGACCTGATAAAGTAACAGAGAGGCTGGCTGAGGTCCTCCCCTTGGTCTGGGACACAATACCTGAGGAGTTCTTTGAGAAGTTATGGAGGTCTATGCCTGACAGAGTCGCAGCAGTTATTGAAGCAAGAGGGTGGTATACTAAGTATTAAATTGTATTTTATTAATTATATTCTCTTATCTCTCTATACTCAATTGTGGTCCACTCGACGCCGACGCCGACGGCGCAGCGCGCAACGACGCCTCGAGGCTCGCTTACTAATCACGAAGACTTCTTGGTAGGAGCTGTACCGGGTGTTGATGGTAAGTGATCAGAATCTGATAAGTGAATGCTGCGGTGAATACGTGTATTTTTCTTATCAGATTCTAATCACTTTTCGCTATACCCTAGTACATACATATACATTCCTATCCAATCTAAAGTGCCTGACACGACCTGGCAAACTTTTCTGTTTTTATGATACCACTTTACACGTCGTCTAAGTAATGTCCAAAGCGAAGAAGAAACCAGATATCGAATTCGCACTAAAGCGCATATTCAAGAAACAAGCATTCCGATCAGTTCAACGTGAAGTCATAGAGGTACCTTTGAACGGGGCCATCGTAATCTTGTTTGATTCTACTAACAAGTGGAAATTAGTCTGCACTGGCAGGTCACGATGTGTATCTACAAGCAGCAACGGGTCTTGGAAAGTCATTGTGCTTTCAACTGCCCGCAGTGGTGGTTGATCATGGTTTAACCATTGTCGTTTCGCCGCTTCTTAGCATCATGGTGAGAGTCTCGATGTGTAGACAACGGTATCGGGTACGTACTGCCCCTGAACTAATTCATTATATATAGGCGAACTAAGTGGATGCTCTAAGAATGGCCGGAATCAAATCAGCCACCTTGAACAGCAGTGTATCCGCCGAAGAAAGACAAGCGATTCTTGCAGATCTTGAGTGCGGACATCCAAAAAACCGCCTTCTATATGGTCTATAGCCATAATCTTGCTCATAGTTATTACAATTTGCAGTGCTTCTAATGTTGATTTATATTTTAGTTACTCCAGAGCTTTGTGCTACCCAGAGCTTCCGCCGTAAACTTGCACTGGTATACCGACAACGCGAGCTAAATCGCATTGTGATTGATGAAGCCCATTGTATCTCAGGTGGGCTTACAATCTTGGGACTATTTAAAATACTTTTAGCAGGTCCTTTCTAAACAACCCTGGCACTAGTAAAGAATGGGGTCACGATTTTCGACCCTCATTCAAGCAACTATCTTTCTTCAAGTCGGAATATCCCTCGGTACCAGTAATGGCAGTAACTGCCACTGCCACCGAAAAAGTAAGATTTGATATTCTTAAAATACTCAATCTTCCCTCACCAGCTACAAAAATATTTCTCCTCTCTACATCACGTAAGTCGCCTTAATATAACCTTCCCTTGTTATAAGTCAATACTCACTGAGCACATGTAAAGGCAACAATCTTCACTACGAGATCCGATATATGAATGATTCTTTCGATACGTTCAAAGATATGGTAGCCTGGCTGAGAGAGGTTTATGCAAGACGAGAACTACACCAAGGTAAATATCAACGTGCTTCAGCGGTATGTGGAATTATTTATTGCCGAGCAAGACAGAAATGTGAAGAGCTTGCAAAGGCTCTACGAGATAATGGCATTGGAGCTAGGTCAAAAAAAAGAGTTTTCTGAGGACATGGTGAATCTATGCTAACTGTTGAGATAGACCTTATCACGCAGGGCTTGCGAGTAAGTCCTCATTTCCTCAAAGCTCACCTGGAGCTTTACAATAGCAGGTATATGTACTGACATACGAAATTTCAAAGAAAAGGAAAAGGAAGACACCACTACCAGTTGGTTGCTTAACAAGCCTGGTTACGATATTATCGTTGCAACAACCGCTTTCGGAATGGGCATTGATAAGCCAAACGTAGGTAAAAAGTCATGATCGTTATTTGCAAAAGCTAACCTGATTCTACTACAGGTTCGGTTCATTGTGCACTGGCAAATAGGAAAGTCATTTGAAAGCTACTACCAGGAAGCTGGACGAGCAGGAAGGGACGGTAAAGCCGCGAGGTGTATCCTTTATTACAGCAGGGAGGACCGAGACCGAACACAATATCTTGTAAACTTGGAAGAAAATAAAAGAATGCCGAGTGAAAAGGGCCTCGGAAGGGCCACAAGCTTTGACGCTGTACGGCTAGCGATCTCTTTTTTTATTATCAGCTCTAGTTCTATACGGGAAATACTGACTCACTCCTAAAAGTTGGTCAAATACTGCGAAGACATCTCGACTTGCCGCCACCTAGCCATATCTAAATATTTTGGTGAAGTGAAGGCACCGACATGCGATTTTGCCTGCGATTATTGTAAAGACGTAGATGCTCTAAGGCGAGCCAACCTAAGCATGCTTTCAGACGAAGAGCGGATATCGACACAACGAGAAGCTGGGTTATTTTATAATGCTGGATACGACGAATGACTGTAGGTTAAAGCTGGCTTGCCTATTTAGGTACAGGAAATTTCGCTCAGTTTTCTTCCGTCTGATCCTGCTTATTTTCTTGTCTCGTGCAAAAGCTGAGGATCCCCCCCGGGGGGGGGGGGGTGTAAAACTACGATTTCATGGCTGGATTCACTGAGGATCCCCATAACCCATCCCGACTATTTTAGAAACGTAAATAATGGCCAGACAGTGTAACCAATCTTTGTTCTGTGCTAAAACTATTATGTATATAATAGGATAATTATCTAGTACTCTATCAACCTAGAGGATATCAACTTATCGTGGTACCTCTATTACCAGTACGCATTATAGTAGAGATATCTATGACCAAATTTGGTCAGCAATATTGCAATTTAATTTCACGTAGCGCCCTGATTGGTAGGGAATACTCTATCCCTTCGTTCGTCAGAGTAAAAAGGGAGACATATCCCTTCGTGCGTTTTCATGACCGGGAGCTAGTAGGCAACTTTTACTCGGTAGTACACCTAACCCTCACTCCGTGAACCTCTTTTGCTGTGAAGTCACCTTCTGTGAACCCCCCCCCCCCCCCAAACACACTTATTCTGGTGTCTCCACAGTCTGTAGGTAGCTAGATTTTCCGAATATCACCACGCCGTCGGCCTAATATTTCTCCCTTTTTGCTCTGACGAACGAAGGGATTAGGCCCACGACGGCGTGACTTTACAACAAAAGGTTCACTGAACAAGGGTTAGGTTTATTACCGAGTAAAGGTTGCCAACTATGTACTCGTTTACCACGAAAAGAACCAGTTGCTCAGGGCAAGGATTATTTGTATGGGGTGGCGGTGATCTCTCATACAAATCATTACTGTTTCCATCACTTGCATTTTTTGGTTCTTACCCTGGTATACGAGTACATGTATGTAGCTCACAGTCGAAACACGATATGTAGTCACGTGGAGATGTATCTACTCTAGGTAGTGGAGCGAGATCCCGGAGGCCGCCGAAGACAGTACATACAGGGTTCTGCACTGACCATCCCACCTCACCCCACAACTTCAGCATCAGTCCACATTGTCTGATATTTTGCAGTATGATGATGACTCGCCTGATTTTTGCTCGTTTCTCACTGATAGTACCATTCCGCCTCAGTCCTCACGCCTGGAATGGGGACGGGTGGATTATTCCCACTTCCACAATCTCGCCATAATCGTTCCACAGTACTGGCACCTTTTTTATCCTGTAAAGCATGCATTGGGCTGTAGAACCTTCTGTATTAATGTGTATAAGTATTACGATACCTGACGTTGTAAGATCTTGCTCTCTCATTATCTGCTGCATTGGAATATTCGAAATCAGAATCATCTCCTCTCACTCGCACGCTTCCCACTCCACTCACAACCACAGCCCGAAGCCCTTCAACTCACAACCCCTTCTATCCACCAAAGAAAAAATAAACATGTTTAGAGCTACTACGAGACTCATGCGCCCATTCGGCAAGAGGCTGCTCGAGGAGCCACATCCATTCTTCATCTACCCAAAGACAGTGAAGGCACAACCAGTTCAACTAAAATTCTACACAACAAGATTAGCACGTGCCGCTTCAATGTAAGTTACTTTAGCCCTATCTTAGTAATCTGGACCCGTTGACTCATGGGCCTTTAGGTATCTTCCCATGTACGTTGTCTTTTTCGGTTGGCCATTTGCAGCTCAGGCGTAAGTTTTTTTTTTTTTTTTTTTTTGATAACCCCAAACTAGATTATATAGATAAAACGCTAACACGATTGCCGTTTAGTCTTGTTACTGCAACCGGTGGACCATAGTGTGAAACTTTAGGGTTTGGTGTTATCTTAGAATTATAAATGCCTGCGCTTTAAATCTTTCGTTTTGTTATGTTTCCTTGGGTCGTTGATTGCGTTTAATTATTTCTGTTATTCGATGAGACTCTCTAAACAGGAATATCTGAAAATAATTTTCAGTCTTTCTTGTTTATTTCTCATTTCTCTTGTATACACATATTTCTCCTATTGTGGCTACAATAATTGGGGACATTTACACTTATTGAGGATTGGTTGTAGAATGTGTTTTTTTATATTGAATATCCCCACTAGTGATCATGCAATCGACAGCTACTTGTCGCAAGTACTTGCTCCGAGAATATTTACAGATATGGTAGGATTCGAGTTGAAAAATATACTCTATGTATATTGAAATTTACATCTAGAAAAATATAGCTTGGAGATATTGGAGGTGCAATCACGAGGTTATAATTAAGGTGGATATTAGAGATTATGTGTTGGAACGAGGGTAGATGTATTAAGGGTATTCAACAAAAAAGTAGACCAATGAGAAGAGAGCCTCATATTGTTGCACTAGGTTTCATACTACATGTAGTATATGCAGCTCTAGTATAAAGTAAGTCGATTTGGTTTTTGAAACTATACCACAAATTGGTTGAACTACAACAAAAATGCATTTCCATTTTGAATTAGAGACTTCTAGTTTTGAACCGATTTTGTACATAAGGATTGGCATGCTACCATTTTTGCTACCCGCAACGAACAACTTTGATGGTTAGCCTAAAGTCTTTATTCCAGGATTGAAAGCTGAAGATGGTCTCAAGACCAAATTTATTTGACGAGCTTCATCTTATCCATACTTTGAATACTCGTGTAATAATAGATTATAGTGGATAACATGATTAATTTGAATAATATGCATCGCAAAGGTTCTCCCGCATGGGTAGGGCTGGCACAAGGAAGTCATGACATGCTAACCTACTCTAGAGTTTCGGTTTTAGTATATTCAAGTAGATAGTAGCTTTATCAATCAGTTGATGATACCCCATTCTGGCCCCTGGGGGTAGTAATACCCCATATTTTGGATGTCCTGCGATGATCATTGCCTGATCTGTATTTGAAGTTGAAATTTGCATAGGGAATTTCGATTAGCACGATTAGTACGTGAGCTTGCTTGGTATCCTTGCAAGTCACCTTGAATTATATCCACAGTGCGGGAATCAACAAACTGAGGGTAAAGAGCTAAAAATTGGATATGATCGAAAATACAGCAGTACAAAGAAGTTCTCCAACAAAAGAGTTATTAATAAGTAGCGAAGAAAAAGAAAAGTGGCGACCAGAAGATAAAAAGGTCGCAATTGTGGGTTTTTTCCACTCGAGGCATTATGCGGAAGCCTCCACGATCAAACCAAGCTCCCCTTAAATGCAGAAGCTACCTTCCTAGTATCCATTCATCGTCATCCTTTGTTGCGACCCCCTGCTTAATTCCCTCTCAGCGGCCGGTGAAATAGGTCGGCTGCTGCCAGCACCCGCAGCACTGGACTCCTTCAAAGCTAAGAGCTGCTTTGCACGGAATGTTTCATAATGGATCTGAGATGTGGTTTCGATCAGGTCCTGGAGGTGAGTACGAGTAAGGAAATTTCGCAAGTAAACGAACTCGCAGTGCTTCTCATCCTCAACTACTCAAATTCATCAGTAATTGTATTAGAAAATAGGAACGCTTGATTCATACCATTGATGACACCCCATCTGTTTTGCCTTCCACGAACTTGCTTACCATCGACGATTATTGATTTCTCAGAACCTACAACGGCAAAAGGAATGATGTTCTTTATCTGGGCGTTCAGAGCGCGCTCTTCCTCATCCAATTCATCATTGTCATAAGGATACATCTTAAGGTTGTGGAATGCGAATTCCTCCTTTATCCTCTCCTTGAAAGCAGCGCGCTCCTCTAGCGTAAGCGAGTCCGACTTTGCAATTACAGGGACAACGTTGACAACGTCAGATAATTTTTTCAAGACAACTATGTCAATGGGTTTCAGACTGTAACAGAGAATTTAGCAATTGATGGATGGGACGATTGAGCTGTTATAGTATACATACGCATGCCCAGATGGCTGGATGAAGAATAGACAGCAGTGGATGCGGGTGTCCTGAATGTAGCGTTCTCTCTGAGCGGTAAGTTCTTTGCGGAGGTATGCGGAATGCTGGTCCTTAATATACTTGACAATGGGATCCCAGCTACCAATAATGTCAGCTATTGTTATAGTGCTTTCTGACGTTCATAAGACTGAGGTTATACCATCTGTCGTTGTTAACCTGGTCGCCATAGCCTGGGGTATCGACAATGTTCAGCCGGAGACGAACGCCATTCTCCTCAATAACTATCGTAGAGTTAGCTCTCACAAGTAGTTTGAGGCAAAGAAAAGCATGACATACTGTGGGATACGGTCTGTATCTCGGTGGTAGACCTTACAGGTTCATCGGGGGTAAGGCGGCCTTTGGAATCAATAAGATGCGCCGCGAAGATTGTGTTGATAAGAGTTGATTTCCCAAGGCCAGTCTGACCTAAGATTGTTCCGGCTTGGTATTAGCAAGGCGAGTAGGATGGCGAGATGAGAAGCTTGTCACATACCAACACAGATAACATTGAATTGAAAACCGCGCTTCAGAAGCTTCCTCTCGATTTGCGAGGTGATACTGTCAAAACCGACGTGACTACGAGGAAATACAGTAGCAGTCTGGGACATCATCGCTGCAGTTTGAGCCATGATTACAAGGTATTAAACGGAGGAGAAGGTGGTTGTGCTAGTAGTAGAATGCAGGAAGGGAAAGGAAGCTTCAGCACGAAGAAGGATAATGTAAAAAGAAGAGATAGCTCTCCTTGCGTGTCGATAGAGGATGGGTGAGGAGGGAGTGAGGCCAGTCAGGGGGGGGGGGGGGGTTTACAATAATCTTTAAGGAACGAAAAGGGGTTCGGTTGCTTGACTTGTCTGTTGTTGGGCTATTTCCCCTGGCTTGGCATTGGATCAGCATAGCAACCCTAGCCCACAAACCCACTGGGCTTGCGAAAGAAATTGTTCTCAACTGATACCAAGATGTCCCCACTTCCTGGTTCCTGCGTTCGGCACATCATCGTCACTCGGCAACAAATTCTCCCTCAGCTTTCATCAAGTGACAAATCTCAATCTAAGATGGCAATGCATGCTTTATCGTCCTCGCGTGCTGGGCTTTTCGCCTCGCTTCAGGCTCTTCTCCCCACAATCCCTCGCATGTCCAGTGCAATCACTATTCCAACAACTATCCACCTCAACATCCCTTCACTTCTCCCACACCTCTGGGAATCAATACTTCGCGCCGTACCTAAAAAGAAACAGAGTCACTCGAGGAAGCGTATGCGGCAATTGGCGGGAAAGGCCCTACAGGACAACAAGGCTCTCAACAGATGTCCCGCATGTGGAGGGGTCAAACGCAAAAACGTTCTTTGTGAGACCTGCGTGGAATCAATCAAGGCTATGTGGAGGAAAGAAGGAGAGGTCAAGGAGGTGGGGACGGAAATAACAACAGGTACCCCATAAAAAGATACGGCTTCTGAGGACTGGATTTGGAAGGGGTGCCTACGATAAGATGGGTTAGATTGTGAGCATGGCACAACTTAAGATGTGGTATTCGGATTTCGCGAGGCATACGGTGGTAGCACGAACTATTAAACGGCGGGAGGAATCTTCTGTAGTTAGGGGAAATTTATGTACAAAGCAACGGTCAATGTCTGCAGATCAAACCAAAATGTTGACATAGTGGGCCAGGGGTGGTTGACTTCGTCTCTTCATATTAATTTGTTACTTTCATCCCTATTACTCATAATTTCATAGCGTTTGTGAATGCGGCTGGGTCTGCATAGACCAAAACCCTGAAGCCTCATGCGGGATTTTGGGGGTATGCGCACCCAGTTGTGTTCACAAACGCTATGAAATTACGAGTACATAGAGTACATATATCATAAGAAATGGAGAAATTGTAAGAACACGTGTAGTAATCGCTCCATTGAAGCATTGGCCTTTTATTTTCCATACAAGAGTTACTTTTTTATCTCACATTATATTGTAAATGCCTGTGCATACTACTTGACCTGTATTCAGTTGCTGACAATGATAGGGATTAATTTGTGTGGAAACCTATTATTTTATAAGAAAGATAAGATCTACCTCCGCTATACCGAATGCCAATAATGCCACAAATTTGCTATTATGGACAGATTTTGCGATCTGAATTTCAATTTCACATAGAAAATGATGGAATTTTATCTGCTGTACCGAATAATCTGCTGTATCGAACGAGAAATTTTGGAATATGCAGGTTCGTTATAGCGGAGGGAGACTGTACCTACCTTACCTGTACCTGTACCTACCTTACCTGTACCTGTACCTACCTTACCTGTACCTGTACCTACCTTACCTGTACCTGTACCTACATGGTAAGAGTATAGCAGTTGTTCAATGATTATCTAATGCAGATTTGCACATTGAGACCTACCGCATGCAGTCAGGCGCGCCAAATTGATGGCCCACCACCATGCGGTAATCACCCAGCCTTCTACTCTAACCACCATCAAAACCGCGAGTCGATCCATCTTTCGATGGTAAGTTTACTTCAAATGAACAAGATCTTTTAATTTACTGCCTTTAGTTAACAAGTTCAAAAGTCGAAACAATACCTCACAGCTCATGTTCAGGAAGAAGGTGTATCAGTGGTACCTATAAAGACTTATTTATGAATAAATGTTGACTTTATCTTTCCTAAAGCTCATCCTTCCGATATTTTTTCACTTGCCGTGACTTCTAGATACGTCATATCTGCATCCGGTGACTCGAATATCAAACTATGGGATACTGCCTCACCCGAACATTCACTTCTCCACACTTTTGTCAAAGCCCATCCCTTAGGAACCCATCACGTCGGGGTAAGCAGAGATGGGAGAATAGCAGCTAGCTCCGGATTTGATGGAGAGACCTTACTGTGGGATCTTGAACAGCTTAAAAGGATCGGGAGTATTGGAGGTTCGTAAGATCGGCGATAAGCCTGTTCGTCAAGCTGCTGATGATTGAAGTTTAAAGGAAAGAATCCTGGAGAGGTCTGGGCCCTTTCTTTGTCAACTACTGGCAGCCTCCTAGCTTCAACAACCTACGATGGAAGGGTAATACTTTGGAATGCACTGGAGCAAGGAACGAAGCTTCGGCAGTATGAGACGAAAGGAAGTTTTGGCATGTGCGTCGAAATTGTAATACTATCCTATACCCTCTAGATGAAAGCAAACAACGTTAAGCAGGTCAAATAGTCTCCCGATGGAAAACTCGTAGCATCTGGTCACGAAAATGGAGGCGTATACATCTTCAATAATGAGACAGGACGCATTTTTCACTCCCTTCCCGGTTAGTTACACAAATTTCTTGAATAGGCACTTGCTGACAAAAGAATTACAGGTCTCCTTAAGCCAGTGAGATGCGTCGCGTTTTCTCCTGCGGGAAAATTACTTGCTGCGTGTGGTGATTCCAACTTTATTGCGCTATATGACGTGGCATCTGGCGAGCAAGTGGCCAATCTTGCTGGGCACTCTAGCTGGGTGTTTTCTATTGCGTGGAGTTCAACCGGGGAGTATATTCTTAGTGGGTATGTAGCCAATGCCTAAACCTCTAAAAACGCCCAGTCAAGATAATGGTATGTGCTAGGTCCTTTGATGGGAAAGCAAAGGTGTGGTCTACTGAAACGAAAGCTTGTGTTGCAACTCATAATGAGACAGACAAAGCTTTGTACGCCGTCAAGTGGTTACCAAAGGGACAAACGGTTGGAGAAGGTTTTTTAACCGCCGGCGCCAACCGTAGGATATGTTTCTACCGAGAGGCTACAGGAGGTTAGAAGGGTACGGTATTCACGCGAATGAGGAGAATTTATGGAGTTCATTCGTTTAGAGCAACCAACCCATTGGCCGTCTTGACTCTATGAAAAAATTCTGAGTGAGGGTCGATCGGTCACCTTCGTTCTTGACTACCTCCTCTAGTAGCTAGAGTAACACATGTAGAGTACTTTCGTTACTATTTTTACCATCTCCACTGACACTTTGATGAGTCATCTAATCCTGCACTGTTCAGCCCAATGATAATTAAAGTTGGGTTGCAGCCAAGACTGTTTCCGCGCGGGAGTGTGGGGCTGAGCTGATTAACTTCTTCAGGGGTTAAGGTTACCCCCTAGTCCCTTCCAACACAGGATTAAGATTGATACTAATTGACACTAAATAATTTTAAAATTCCCTAATACCTACAGCTGTTACCTGGAGTAACACGCCGCCTACATGTAGGTACATGGGGTAGAGTACCTACACCTTGTTTACTTTCCTATATTTACCTTGTCGTCTCTCCTGGCATTTCACTTTCCTCCCTTACCTGTGACCAACTCCAACTTTTCTCTCTGCGAATCCGTTTACACAATATAGTCTGTCGCTCTTTAGGCCCTCCAATCTGTTTTCTCAGCCTCACATTCTTTTCAAGACTTCTCTTCATGATGTTTAGAAATACCCTTTTCACAATTTTCTTGCTCATCGTTAGTGGATTCGTCTACTTTGCTGAAGCTGAGATCCCACCAGTAAGATTTCAACTCCAATATGACATCTTCTGGCATGCATAGCTAATAACTGTGTTGAATACGTAGGCGTGTGTACTTGCGTGTGTAAACGAAGAAAGCACCCCTTCCGATATCCAGACCGTCTGCGCTTCAGAAGGTGCGCAAACTTGCCTTGCCTCCAGGTGCGGCGGATCAAGGCAGAAAGCTGTTGATTACTTCCAGACTACTTGCAAATCCTATGATTACGAAGTTGGTATGTATAGCATTAAACACAAAGCGGTATTTGACATAGAGTTCGTTCGAGAGAGTGGATAGCAGGATATCAGTTCACTTGCACATATGGATTATTATTTTTGAGCTCTTGATAAACGGATGCCACAGTTCTACTTGGAGATCTCATTTACTGACGCATGCTATATCTTCAACAGCGGAGCCAATCCCTGCCAACGTCACGTAGGTTTTTAAATTCATCGATTTCCCCAGAAACCCACTAACATGGATTCGGTATAGGATAACTCCTTCTACACGGCCAACTGCCTCTGCAACTGCTGCTCCTGATGCAGGAAATCATGGGACGAAAATAATGGCTTTTGGCGGATCATTTGCGTTGATGCTTTGTTCAATTAGTTACTTCGTTTTGTAAAAGCATTGGTGCTAGCAATCATACATTAGAGTAGTACTGTACCTAATATACACTTTACCTATTTTTAAAGCATTAGGGGGTGATATATTGATCTTTTGAAAGATCAAAAAACTTGGATTATCAGGAGATCGACCCTGACTTCGGTGAAAAATTCACAGGGAAGATGACGGTAAAAGTAATTTTTCATGATCTTCAGAACTAAAGACAGCCGTGTTGGCCCTGAATAAACTAAATACCATAAAAAACGCTATCTCCGGCCGGAGATTATCTCCTTAACGATTGGTTGGAGAGTGTAGATCAGGTCCGTTAATAGTAATTTTGATCTCGTATGCACAACAAATTTTTCGTTGTAGCCGTATTAAGCGACATTTGGGTAGCGAATTCTGTGGCATGAATGTCTTCCAACAATTCTGAACTTTGGGGACTACTGAATTCACCGAATATCACTCGATCACAAGTATAATATATATAGTTGGAATTGTATTTCCAGCCTAGGAGTAATGTCCCAATACTCGTATGAGTATCAGTATATCTAATAAGTATATAATTATAACCTGCATATGCAATGTCTTCTGATTGGTTCATTGAGAGATGTTTTTGTTTCACTTGAAACATCTTGTGTTGAATATTAACATAGGGTATTTTGCTGAGTGGTGTTAGAGTGTTAATAGGGTTTCTAATGGTTCTGGAAATCCATAGTGGTTCGATTTTAGGGGTTTGGTAGCTGTTAAAGGAATATACGTGTAGATTTAACTGGAGAAATTGTCTGACTTATCCATTGATATATTGGTATAATATATCAGAAGAGTCACATATTGACCAAATCAGACTTGGATGTATATATATTGATGGACTTTGCCTGCTAGTAGGGGTCAAGGGCAGCGCAGCGGCCTGCCAGTGAGAACTCTGACTGTCAGCTAAATAGAGAAATAAGTCACATAACGGTTTGCCTGTAACGGGGGTCTATGGACGTAGGGACTATGGTGCCAAGGAATACAACCGAGGCGAGAACGTGGCAATAGGTATTCAAGGCTATGGGCTATGGAGTGGCTCTACGTAGTATGACAACTAGTTGAACCCTATGACGAGGCGTAGAACAAAAGTAGTATTCGTGGAGTAGATACAAGGTTCCGTGAAGAGAAGAGGAAAAGAAGGGAAACATCAAAAGGCACGAGACAACGCCCCATTATATATCCAACTCCTAGTCCATTGATGACTAATACCCGCGTAACGGAAACCGAAAGAACCTAACAGAAACCCTATTACAAATCATAATTCAACCGCGCAATACCTCCTCTTCACAATCCAATCTATCAGCTTAGCCGAAATACAATATTGCCGTTACAGATTACGCCCCCCTCTAAGGCCTACCTCCTGGTAGGCTTAGGTTTCCGTGGATAGCGTTCATGGAACCGTCGAACAATATCAGGTGAATGCTCAAGGTCCGATAGCGGTTGCCAAGAGGCATCATGTAACGGCAATATGATATTTCGGCTAAGGTGATAGATTCGGTTGTGAAGAGAAGGAATCGCGCAGTTGGACTATGATTTGTAATGGGTTTTCTGTTATGTTCTTTTGGTTTCCGTTACGCAAGATATTAGTCATCAACGGACTAGGAGTTGGATATATAAGGGGGTGTTGTCTCGTGCCCTTTCATGTTTTCCTTCCTTTCCTCTTCTCTTCACGAAACTTCTTGTATTTACCCCTCGCAACATCAAAACTTTCGAACAACAATAACTTTTGGCCTGCACTCCCGATAAAACTTTTTCACGAACAAGATCCTGTATGTCAATAGACCGCGTAATCTATTGGTATCTTATCGCACATCTGTTCGTACCCGAAGTTATTCACGCTCTAGTCCCTGAGTTGTGAACCTCCACCACTTCAAAACCCTCGCTTAAGCCTCGCGACCGCTGCGAAAAACAACAACCAACCTGGCCTCTCCAGACCCAATCAACCCACCAAACTTTGCGGGCAGGAAGAGAACTCTATCAGAAGTCTTTCCCAACCCAATCCGATCCGGAACATCAGTGATGTCCCAACAAGCCTCCTTGAGCTCCTGGTTTGCAGGAGCCCCCCCCCAGGAACTCCAGCCCCCCCACGCTTCCCCGACACCCAATCCACTCAACTCACACAACAAACACAGTCTACCACAATCGAACAAACCCAACTCATTGGCGAACCCTTCTCTATCTTCGCTGAATACACCCAATACAATGAACCATACGCACCAAAATATGACTACATCCACCCTAGCATCGTCCCCCAAGAAACCCACTCCAGAATGGACCTCAATTATATCTCATGGGTTATTAGAAATGCCCTCACCGTGGCGCTCGAACCCCTCAACCAAACAACCGAGCAGATCAATAAGGACCTAAAAGCTACCATCGAAGTCTTATCCACCCAAAACGAAACCCTTAAGCATACCGTCGACGTCCTGGCCAAACAAATGTTTGAAAGGACAAAGAACCAAGACAAAACCTCCGAAAAACTCCACCGCCTCCAACAACAGCTCACCAACCTCACCGTTAACAGACCTAGCAACCAAGCAGTCAACGAAGGAAGAGCTTCCGCACCTGCCGCCGTCGCCGCTGCCACCATCCCCGCCCCTCCCCCCGCACCCATCAATAATGTGAACCATGACCAACAACCAAAAGGAAAAGGAAAAGAAACACCAATCCCAACAGCACCAAAATCCTATGCATCCATCGCAGCAGGAAACGCCAATCCTGAATACACCATGGTCATGAACAGGAGGAAGCCCAAGCCCAAAGCGGATCCACTATTCAAACCAGAAATCACCAAAATCAACAGGGAAATAGTCATCGAAACAAACAAGGAATCACCAGTCACCCCCTCCGACATCAGAACAAGAATCAACGCAAAAATCGAAAACCCAGACTGCCAGCTGATCGCCGCCAGGAAAACCTCGAAGAACAACATTGTGCTGGAGACCAAATTTGCTACCCCTGCCTCGAAAGTCTTCGAATACAAACAGGAAATAGAAACAGCCCTAAGAGAACTAAAGGTCCCCTTTGTGGACATCAGGGTCAACTCCAAATGGTCCAAATTCATCGTACATTTCCAGGAATCACAACAACAATCAGAGACGGCTATGAAGCAGGACAGGTCATGGCCTCAGAAGTCAGAAGCAACTATGGAACCACATTCGAAATGGCACAAATCCCCAGATGGCTCAGTAGACCCGAAGCCAGAACAGGGAAAACACACTCGTCAATGATTATCGCACTCCCAGGATAATACACAAAGGATAACCTCGGACTGAGATACCTCACCCTATTCGACCGACAATGCAAAATCGACAACTACCTCCCAGCCAACCCAGAAACCCAATGCTCCAAATGCTTAGAATACAGCCACCGACACGAAAGATGCTCCCACCAAACCGGAGATGCGGACACTGTGCAGAAGACCACCAAACAAAAGAACACCCATGCTCAGAATGCTCAGGAGGTATTAGATGTATCCATACACCCATCCGGTGCTATCACTGCAAGGCCCCCCACAAAGCAACAGACGCCAACTGCCCGGAACTTACCAAAGTCCGCATCACAAACAAACTTGGACCAGATACAAACCAAGCCCACTACCAATACCCATCGTCATCCCGGCCCAAGACCCCCCCAAGAAGACGCAGCCATGGATAACACCCAATGAGTCACACCAAAAGGACAACGGCTATCGCACAGCAACTGAACTGCGCGAAAAACGAGCTCACAACAAAGTCAGCAGTGGAGGAAGCAGAACAGGACCACAATATACTCTTTCTTTTTGTTACAAGAACCATGGAACAATAAAGACGGCCACCCACCGGAATCCCCTCTCTTTTATCTATTCACAGCCAGCAATAAAGCACTAAGCCGCTACATACATCAGAAAACACGTCAACCTAAACCAAAACACCATTACACGCACTACAACTTCATCGTCTCCGTCACGGTGGAAATCCAGAACCAAATGACACAAATCCTCAACATATACTCACCAGGGCGAAGCGGATCCTTCACAGAAATCTCCCGCCGAATAAACACCATCCAAAACTGCCTCGTCATGGGAGACTTCAATAGCCACCACCAACTCTGGTATAGACACAGATCCCACGACTACACCAACACAATCAGAGCGGACAAATCTGGATCCAAGAAGCTCAAAAGGTGGATCGACCGACAAAAGCTATCCCTACTCAACGAACCGGGTGAATTCACACACTTCCCCAGAAACAACAACAGACCAACCATTATTGACCTGACCCTGATCAAAGGACCTATCCTCGACCATGACGTCTGCTGGAACATCGACCGCCACGGCGCAGGCTCCGACCACGGGAAAATTATAGTACAATTACGGATAGAAAAACCCCCCCACATACCCAGAAGACTATGGCACCGAACGAACTGGGAAAAACTGGAAGAAAACATCTCAGACCTCCAATTCCTCCCCGAGGCGTGGGAATCCCAGGGTCATACAAAGCAATCAGTCGACTTCATACTTGAACACATAGACAACCTAATAGACCAAGTCACCCCATGGAGCCAAGGATACATCAAATCTAAAAAATGGTGGACCCCGGAGCTGAAGAAGCTCAAAACAACCCTGAATACAGCGGAAAGGAAAGCCAGGAAACCCAAAAAGATGAGGATAGAGAAACATTCAGAAAAAACGAGCAGGAAATGGACATCACTGATCCGCAAAGCCAAAGCAGAACAAAGGGAGAAGGAACTCGCGGAAGCTAAAGGAAGCACCATCTGGAAACTAGTCAATGCAGGAAGAAGAAGGGATGTTACAATCCCAACCATACAAGGTGAAGAAACGTTTGCGGGGAAGTGCCAAGCTCCAAGAGCTCAACTCTTCCCCACAAATTGGACGTCCCCCAATAACCCCCCATTGCAAATCAGACCCCCATCCTTTGATCTTAGTGACACCTTCCAGGAAGTTACACCAGAAGAAATCATATCCGCAATCAAATCATGTCCAAC